AGTCCAGGAGGCAGTGCGAGACTACATGAAAAAATATATATATATAGAAAGCCATTCTCAGCATATCCCCATCTTTTTGTTCTTCTCCTGGGCCCTACCAGGTCAAGTGGCTCCAGGTAGCACAGTTTGAAAACAATGGATCCAATCCCTTCATTTTACAGAAAAAAGAAACCCACAAAAGGCAAAGAAATGGGGGAAACTGACAAAGGTGAGAGACGAGGAATGTGTATGTCACAGATGGGCATTGCTTTGTCATATTTTCCCATTATGGCTCTCCACTGTAATTCAAGAACGCTCCTCAAGGTTTGTTCTTTCTCACCCAGGGATTCACAGTGTGATGCATCCAGTCTGGACCAGAAACAAAAGAGGCCTAGGGAGAATATCAGGGGTGTGGTGTAGAAGGCGAACCTTGCTGGGCAGAGGCGGTGGCTTTGAGGACCCTGCGATAGAGAGGGTGTGCACACTGTTAAGGGTCCGTCTGGGAAACTGCAGCCTGTGGAGATGTTGGGGACAAAGCCTTTTTTGTCCTTTGCCACCCGTAAGGCAGTGCTTTTCTGAGCAGCTCTAATTATAAATCCCTGTCCTGCTAAGATGGGTAAACTTGGCAGCAGTTGAGATCTGCCTTGTGTCTTAACTATTTCTCAGTTGGTTTAGGCTTGGCAAAACCCCAAATGCATTTTGCCAGGCACTCTTTCCCTTAATTTCTAATCCCTTGAGAGGCTTAAGGGAAATTTCATCCATATGTTTCTGAGTCACTTACTGTGAACTCATCTTTTGGTAAAAGAAATATGTTCTTAAGCCAGCACAGTCCAGAGAGAAGCACATTTTTAGGCTGAAATGGGTCATGCTTTCTTTAGGAAGAATTTCAGTACAAAGAAAGAAGGAGAACAATAGATCCTGTTCCCATGTTCCTTCTTCTTTCTGAATGTGCTTTCTTGGGGCTTGCCTGAAAGCCTCCTCTATTGTTTATGAAGCTGGTAAATGCCATATCTGTGTTTGGAGCTAAACAAACTCTATGGGTTTGTAGTTTCTTGAAAATTCCCATTTTTAACCTAGGCTGGAAAAAAAGCAATTATTGAACACATACTACATGTCAGGTGCATCTCGGCAGCCTGGTAAGATAGACATTATCCTTGTATACAAAGAATCTGAGAAGTGAAGATATGAAGTCATTAGACAAGCTGTGTCTTTCATAAAAGGTGAAGTCAGAATTCACATCTAGAGCTGTCTGACTCCCAAGTTCATGCTCTTTCCACCTGGCTGTGCCCATTCCCATGCACAGACAGGAGAGGAGGCCCAGCACATTCTAGTTAATGGTCATGGGTCCAGTAATGGGCACACATTTTTTGCAAAGTGAACAGAAACTGAACTTGGCATTACTGCAAGAGTTATCCCTTTCTTATTGACTCAGAAGAGTTTGGGATGCTGCCTTACTCACTGTGGTAAGATGTCAGATGTAGAGACTGCCAGTCTCAGAAGTGGAGCTTTTGATATTACTACTACTAATGACAAGACTCTAGGTATAACTATCAGTTGATAGGAATCACAGGTAATTATAGGAATTATAGGCAATTACAGGAATTACAAGAACATGTTAAACAATACCATGACGATGGAAACAGCAAAATGCAGAACGGTAAAAATTCTGCAAAACAAATATCTCAGTTTTTCCAATGACGGCAGGAAAACAAAAGAGGGCAAGAAAGCCTATGGATTACAAACAACAAGAGCTATTTCAACGGAATGCCATGCGTGCATCTTATTTGGGTCCTCATTTGAACAAACCAAGAATAAAAAGGAGATAATCAGGGAAATTTGAGAACTGACTGAATATTTTATAACATTAATGAATTGTTGTTTTTTAGATGCAATGGTATTGTGATTGTGTTTAAAAAAAAGAGAGACTTTATCTCTTAGAAATACTGCTGAATTGACCTGGCATGGTGGCTCATGCCTGTAATCCCAGCACTTTAGGAGGCCAAGACGGGTGGATCATGAGGTCAGGAATTTGAGACCAGCCTGACCAACATTGTGAAACCCTGTCTTTACTAAAAATACAAAAATTAGCCAGGAGTGGTGGCATGCACCCATAATCTCAGCTACTTAGGAGGCTGGAGCAGGAGAATCACTTGAAGCCAGCTGGTGGAGGTTGCAGTGAGCCGAGATTGCACCACTGCACTCCAGCCTGGGTGACAGAGCAAGACTCTCTTGAAAGGAGGAGAGGAGAGGAGAGGGGAGGGGAGGAGAAGAGAGGGGAAGAGAGGGGAGGGGATGGGAGGGGAGAGGAGGGGAGGGGACTGCTGAATTATTTACAGATGAAACAATATGATGCCTTGGATTTGTTCTGAAGTAATCTGGGGTGGGGTGAGGAGGAGGGTGGGCATGATTGGGGGAAACAGATGAAATGATGAAATAGACATTGGCCAACTCAAGTTGAGTCATTGCTACAAGGGGTTCATTGGTACAAAGTCAGATGTTTATATGTTTGAAAGTGTCCACAATAAAGAAAAATTGTTTTAATTACGATGATCAAAATCATTCTAATTAATTTAAATTTCTTTATTTCACACTTGTATCTTAATCTTTATAACTCTTTAGAAGATCTGACATAAGCTATAGGTTTTTGTAGTGTTGGTGGTGGTAGTTATTTAAAAGGAGGAAGGAAGAAAGGAAGGAGGAAGAGATGAAGGGAAATAAGAGGAAGAGAGGAAGGAGGAAAGGGAAGGGGAGAGAAGACAAGCTGAGTCCATGGAGAAGGGAAGTAATTTTTCATCAAAGAGAGCCAAGTTACTGAAGATAAGTCCCAAAATGTGTAGTTCACGTGGGTTCAAACCACCTCTCACTTCTCTGACATCCAGATTGCAGAGCTGAACTGTGTCTGTGGGCCTGGTTGCCGGAAGTCTTCAAAGGTAAAGAACGGCTTCATCTCAACCTCTGTCCCTGACTCCATGGGGTTGCACTTATGTTGATGCCTTACCGCTGCTCTGAATAATCTGCACCATAATGTATATTGAACGGCGAGAGGCAGGCATACTTGTGAGACATTGTTAAAAATAATAACTTCCAGGTGTTTTGAGTGATCCTAGGCTAATGGTAAAGTGAAGGTACACTCTCTGTTTAGAAACCCATGAAGATATGAGAGCCTGATTATGCAGTATGTCTTCTTTGTAACTTTTTTAAATTAAAAAAATTTTTTTTTAATTTTCATTGTTTTAGAGATAGAGTCTCACTCTGTTACCCAGGCTGGAGTGCACTGGCAAGACATGGCTCCCTGTAGCCTCAACCTCCTGGGCTCAAATGACCCTTCTTTCTCAGCCTCCCAAGTAGCTGGGACTACAGGTGTCCACCACCATGCTCAGCTAATTTTTAATATTTTTTTTGTAGAGATGGGATCTTGTTATGTTACTCAGGCTGGTCACAAACTCCTGGCCTCAAATGATCCTCCCACCTTGGCTTCTCAGAGTGCTAGGATTATAGGTGTAACCCGCTGTGGCCAACCTCCTATTTAAATGGATATGTTTAAAAATATATGCAAAGAGAGGCAGCATGCCCCATGACACCATCACCCAACCCCGAACGGTTGTCAATAGCCATCTTGTTTTGCCCATGTCTTTCCTACCCTGACTCCTGCTGGCTTATTTTCAAACAAATTCCAAGTGCCATTAACATTTCATCTGTAGAACTTCTTCTCGATGCATTGCTGCTTTTTATTTCAGATTCATGGGATTAAGAGATGAGCCTCCAATGGATTCGAAGAGTGAAGAGTCCACCCGGAGATAACCAGAGTCTGTTGGATTTGGAGGTCCAAGGAGGAGATGAGGTGGCAGGTGGCAGAGTCTTCAAGGAAGAAAGGTAGCAGATGCTGCATGAACACAGAGTGGCAGACTGGAGCTGAGACCCACGCAGGAATGGCTGCAGTTACCGGAGGGCACTGCCCCATCCAGAAAGGGGGCATGGGTGGGTTATGGAGGATAGCAGAGAGGGTCTGGTTCTGTTTCCATGATTGTCATTACCCCGGAACTGTTCACAAGGGCACTATGCCAGGACAGTGAAGGTTTAAGATACTGCACCTTACTCACTTAAACGGTCAAAACTTTTATTTCCACCCAATTTGATAGAGACCTTTCTAAACCATATTACATACCTCTCTGCCTTTTTAAAAGAGTACTGCACGGAACATTTAGCCTTTCCTTGATAGCTTAAAGGCATTACCATCAATGACTGTTTTGCATTGACCTCAAATGTGGTCATGCCTCTAGAGCTTCTTGAGAATGATTTTACATGGATGTTCCTGAAAAAAATAGCTGCTAGATCTATTTATGTTTTTCTTTTTTCTTTTTGAGACAGGGTGTCACTCTGTTGCCCAAGATGGAGTACAGTGGCACCATCATAGCTAACTCAGCCTTGAACTCCTAGGCTCAAGTGATCTTCCCTCCTCAGCCTCCCTAGTAGCTGGGACTACAGACGTGTGCTACCATACCAGGCAAACTTTTGTATTTTTTGTAGAGATGTGGTTTCACCATGTTGTCCAGGCTGGTCTTGAACTCCTAGGTTCAAGAAATCCTCCCTCAACCTCCCAAAGCAGTAGGATTACAGGAATGAGCCCGCGCCCAGGCTCGTTTTGATTTTAATAGGATAAAGTGAAGGTGGAAAGGACTGTCTCTTCTCTAGCTAGCGATACACCCGACTGCAAGGGCCATCTTTGTTCTGTCTTCTAACTTGGTGCTTCTAACCAAGCTGTGAAGATGTTACACCTGTGTCCCAGGTGAGTGGAAATTGACTGTGAGTGAGGCTCCAAGTGGCTGGCCTCTGAGGAAAGTGTGTGAATTTTATGACATCTATTTTGTGTCTTCAGGGTCTCTTTGTGGCTTTTCAGTTATTAGTTGAGTCTTAGACAGTTAAACCTGCTGAGTAGGTGATCTGTTTCTTCTATATTGCTCACAGGTATTTGAGACTGGCTTTTCAGAAAATAAGCTAAATTAGGTCTTGGTATCTCCTGCAGATAAGAAAATCTGAAGAAGATGGGTAATAAGTAGTCCAAACATATAAACACATCACGGTAAAAAAAAAAGAATTCTCCCAGATATCCTTGGGTTTTGGAAAGACAGAAATTAGAATGGAAATAGTAATTTTTAAAAGCATGTTTTATTCAAAAGAAGTGCATCTAACAAAAAGAAACATAAAACTTCACTTTAAGAACTTATTCAATTACATCAAAATCAGTAAGGCTAGGAGCAAAAAGATGCTCATCTGATGAAGTGAATCAAAAATGCTTTCCCAAAATATAATATGAAAACATCTACCTCTGCACATGGATAAGAGAGCAGGGCCAAAGGGCATCACCTCCTTGACAGCTACTACACATTTCATTCTCCTACAAGAAGTCATTCTTCCAGTTATCCATCTGGAATGGCAATCATTTTTCCCATTATCCAACTGATAACTCTCTTGCTCAGAAAGGAGACCTGGTGTTTTAGACTTCATTTTGTCCAACAGGAAGGGAAGGTTGGTGTGTTGAAAAAAAGACATATTTGGTGAGTGTTCATGGTATTATTGAGTTCCTAATTACAAGATATAGGAAAATGGTGCTGGCAGACAAAGGGGCGTGGATGTTAGGAAAGAAGGTTTCAAACTGAAGGGAAAAGACAGAGACATTTTATGAACTGAGCCAGCGTAGCACTGAATCGACTCTTACTGTGCAGCAAAATCATCTAGGAAGCATTTTTAAACTTTCGTTCTCCTTATGATATATAATTTGTAAATTGCATGTGTAGGTATTAAATATACAACATTTAAGACCCCATTGGAAAATGAGTTTTGATAAACGCATATGTTTGTAACACCCACCATTATCAAGACATCAGACACATCATTCCAGAAAGTTCTCTCTGGCAGTTTCCAGACACTCATAGATGCCCTGTCTTAGAGGCAACCTCTGCTCTGGTTCTCTGTATTTTAGTGTGCTTATTCTAGAACTTTATATAAATGGAATTATGTAGTAGGTACCTTTTTGTGTGTGATCTCTTCCACACAGTATCATGTTTTCCAGGTTCATCTGTGTAGTCATGGGAAGCAGTAGTTTGCTCCTTCTCTATTACTGAGTCTATTTTATGGTAGAGATACACCACAACTTGTTAATTTTCTAGTTGAGGAACATTTGGATGGTTTCCAGTTTGGGCCATTATTAACAAAGCTTTAAAGTTTTCTAGTTTGCATCTATTTTCATTTATCTTAGTTAGACATCTAGAAGTAGTGTTTTTGGTCATTGGTTAGGTGTATGTTTCACTTTTTGAGAAACTGCAGACCAATATCCAAAGTGGTTGTGCCACTTTCTACTCCTACCAGAAACGAATGAGAATTCCAGTTGGTCTGCATCCTTGTCAACAATTGGTGTTGTCATTTTTAAATTTTAGCCATGTGAGTAGGTATCTTATTTTGGTTTTAATTTGCACTTCCCTTATGACTAATGAAGTTAAATGGCTTTTAATGTGATTACTGATCATTTACAAATTTTCCTTTGTGAAGTGCCTGTTCAAGATTTTTGATCAATTTCTTAATTGAGCTATCATCTTTTTATTACTGAATTGCAGCAATTGCTAATATATACTGGTTGTAAGTCCTTTGTCAGATATATGCATAGCAAATATTTTCTGCCAGTCTGTGTTTTGTTTCTTTTTCTTAACAGTAGTTTTGATGAACAGGAATGTTAAATTTTGATGAAGTCGATTTTAATACCTTTTTCTTTTATGATTATGTGAAGAACCTAAACATGAGAGATGTTTATGATTAACTGGAAAATCATAGCCCAGAGGTTTGATTTCTCCAATCATTTTAATTTGCAGCCAGGGTTGAGAACCCCCACCTTAAAACAAAATATGACTGAAGAAGTAGAGGACTCTAAAAAAAAAATGAAATTCTGAAAATACAATAAGGCATAATCCAAATGAACCCAAGGGAGGAGGTACTTCAACCCCCGAGCTGTGTGCCAGTGCAGAGAGCATTTCATTATGCGGGTAGAGAGGAGCACAGACGAAGGACAGCACTGGAGAGGCTGGGTCATGTTCACAGCTCTGAACTCAGGCCTGTGCAATGCTCAGATGGCAAAACATGGACCCTGTAAAATTATGTTTCAGGTAAGAAGATGAACAAAGGAAGGCAATGGCCTGCAGCAGAGGGTGGAACAGATGATGCCACTGCCCAGCTGCAATTTTACTCTGGCCTTGCCATCTGGAAGCAAAATCTTCAATATTAGTGGAGCAGAACACAGATGGTTAAGAGGGAACAGAAGCTAAAGATGGATGGACAGAGATTTAGGGAACCTGGAGCAGCCCAGATGAGTTCAGGTCTCCAGGCTCCAGGAATTACAGCCCAGGGAACAGGAAGACCTTTCAGAGGTAATTGAGGAATCACACTGTAATCTCTGAAAATCACGGAGGAAGGGAACAGTGCCAGAAAACTCAAGGTGAGAAAATGTTCTGTTTTAAAAGTGAGGCTGTCAGAAACTGTCAGGCCACAGCAGTGCCCAGCATCTGCCCCAGGAATGTGGCCCTTGAAGCCTGGGCACCCCCAGGCAAGCGGTCCAGGAAGTTCAAACCCTCTCTAGCTGCAAATAAACAGCTTTGACTGCAAATCCCATTGAGATGCCTCTCCTCTCTGGGATAAAGCTTGTGAACACAGGCACCACCCAGCCCTACTTCACAACACTTAGCTTCTTTCACATTAGTTGTAATTCTGTCACTAATTATTACATTTATTGAGCACTATATGCTTGGCTAGTTATCGCTCAAATTCTAAAATTCTTGAGTCCTCAATAATACACATTCAGCCCAGATCTCCAAAGACCCCAGTTTGAAAATCACTGAATTAAAAGTTAAGAGTAAATGGTAAATGGATTTTAAAAACTATGGTACATCCATACAATAGAATATCAGTGAGTGCTAGAAAGAAATGAGTTGCCAAGCCATGAAAAGACATGAAAGAAGCTTAAATGCATACTAAGTGAAAGACGCCAAGCTGAAAGGCTACATACTGTCTGTATTATCCCAACTGTCTGGCATTCTGGAAAAGGCAAAACTATGGAGCCAGTAAAAAGATGAGTGGTTTTTAGGTGTTAGGAGGAGGAAAGGATGAACAGACAGCACAGAGATTTTTGCAGCAGCACAACTACAGCTACACCTTGTTTTACTGCATGCCGCTTTATTTCCCTTTGCAGATATTACAATTTTTTTTTAAGTGAAGGTTTGTGGCAATCTTGTGTTGTGCAAGATCTATCAGTGTGATTTTTCCAACAACATGTGCTCACTTCATGTCTCTGGCTCACATTTTTGTAATTCTTGCAATATTTCAAACTATTTCATTATTATATCTGTTATGGTGATCTGTAATCAGTGGTCTTTAATGTTACTTTTGTTAATTGTTTGGCGGTGGCTCAAACTGCACCCATACAACATGGCAAACCTAATCAATAAATGTGTGTGTGTTCTTCCTGCTCCAGAAACCAGCCATTTTCTCATCTCTTTCTCTCTCCTCAGGCCTCCCCGTGCCCTGAGACACAAAAATACTGAAATTACACCAATTAATAACCTTATAATGGCCTCTAACTGTTCAAGTGAAAGGAAGAATCACACATCTCTCACTTTCAATCAAAAGCTAGGAATGACTAAGCTTAGTAAGGAAGGCATGCCCAAAGCTGAAAGAGGCCAAAAGCATGGCCTCTTGCTCCAGTTAGCCAAGTTGTGAATGTAAAAGGAAAGTTCTTAAAGGAAATTAAAAGTGCTACTTCAGTAACCACACAAATCATAAGAAAGTGAAACAGCCTTGTTGTTTACATAAAGGAAGTTTTAGTGGTCTAAACAGAAGACCAAACAAGCCACGACATTATCTTAAGCCCAAAGCCTAATTCAGAGCAAGTCTCTTCAGTACGATGACAACTGAGAGAGGTGAGGAAGCTGCAGAAGAAAAGTTTAAAGCCGCATGAGGTTTAAGGAAAGAAGTCATCTCCTTAACATAAACGAAATCTTCTTGCACATAAAAGTGCAAGATCCAGATCATTGATGAAGGCGGCTACATTAAACAATGGATTTTCAATGGAGACAAAACAGCCTTCTATTGGAAGAAGATGCTATCTAGATACCACCTAGAACTTGTATAGCTAGAGAGGAGAAGTCAATACCTGGCTTCAGACTTCAAAGGACAGACTGACTCTCTTCTTAGGGGCTAAGGCAGTTGGTGACTTTAAGTTGAAGCCAATGTTCATTTTTTATTTTAAAAATCCTAGGGATCTTCAGAATTAAGCTAAATCTGCTTTGTGCTCTCTAAATGGAATAGCAAAGCCTAAATGACAGCACATCTGTTTACAGCATGGTTTTACTGAATATTTTAAGTCCAGTGTTGAGACCTGCTCAGAAAAAAAAAAGATTCCTTTCAAAATATTACTGTTCATTGAAAATGCACTGGTTACATAAGAGCTCTGATGGAGATGTATAAGGAGATTAATGATATTTTCATACTTGCTAACCCAACATTCATTATGCAGCTCATGGACCAAAAAATAATTTCAACTTTCAAGTTTTACTATTTAAGAAATATAATACATTTCATAAAGCTATAGCTGTCATGGACAGTGATTCCTCTAGTAGATCTAGGCAAGATAAATTGAACATCTTCTGGAGACAATTCTTCTTCTAGATGTGATTAAGAACATTCGTGATTCATGGGAGGAGGTCAAAATATCAACACAAACAGAAGTTTGTAAGAAGTAGATTCTAATCCTTATGAATGATTTTGAAGGATTCAAGACTTCAGTGGAGGAAGCAATTGCAAATGTAATAGAAATAGAGAACTAGAATTGGAAGTGGAACCTGAAGATGGGACTGAATTGCTGCTATTTCATAATAAAACTTGAACAGATGAGGAGTTGTTTCTTATGAATAAAAAAGGTGCTTTCTTGAGATGGAATCTACTCCTGGTGAAGATACTGTGAACACTGTTGAAATGACAGCAAAGGACTTAGAACATTACGTAAACTTAGCTGATGAAACAGTGGCAGGGTTTGGGAGGCTTGACTCCAATTTTGAAAGAAATTCTACTGTGGGTAAGATGCCATCAAACAGTATTGCCTGCTCCAGAAAACTCTTTCCTGAAAGGAAAAGTCAATCGATGTGGCAGACTTCATTTTTGTTTTATTTTAAGAAATTTCCACAGCCACCTACCATCTTCAGCAACAACCACCCTGATCAGTCAGCAGCCATCAACACTGAGGCAAGACCATCCACCAGTAACATGTTTACAGTTAGCTGACGGCTTAGGTAATCATTAGCATTTTAATCATTAGCAAATAAATATTTGTTAAGGTGTGTATACTGTTTTTTAGACATAATGCCATTGCACACTTAATATACTATGGTGTTAATGTAACTTTTATATGCACTGGGGAATGAAAAATTCATATGACTCGCATTATTGCAGTATTTGCTTTATTGTGATGGCCTGGAATCAAGCCACGATATCTCTGAGATATGCCTATATTCGGTATGATACAATAATGGTGGATACATGTCATGCTGTATTTGTTAAAAACCCATGGCAAATTATAACTCTACAACATCAGGAGTAAATCTAATGTAAACTATGAACTCTGGGAGACAATGATGTGTCAATTGTGCCTCATCAATTGAAACAAACGTACCACTTTGGTGCAAGAAGTCAATGATGGGGAATGATATCCAGATGGAGCAATGGGGGTAGATTATAAACTACCAGTAGAGAGAGTTCTTTGTGCTATCTTCTTAAATATGATATGAACCTAAAACTGCTCCTAAAAATAAAGTACATGTAAAAAAAGGTTAAGAACTTAAGATAAAATTTTTGTGGAGAACTTTTGGACTCCCGAGAGTACATTTGTGAATCCAGTTAGAGAAGCAATGTGTGAGGCATGTTGATGCCTTATTTCTAATTCTTACCATCACCTGCAGGATACATATTATTATTTTAATTTTAGAGATGAATTAACTGGGGCAGGTTTAAGTAAATTGCCTCAAATCACGCTGGTAGTAACTGGGAGTACAGGATTTAAATTCAATAATAATATCAATATCAATAATAATAAGTGAATGAAAAACTCATTCCCACTGCCTCCCATTTGGAACTCAGCTTACCTGCTATGTACTTACCTGGCTTCAGGTCCATCTAGGCCATAGGTGTCCAATCTTTTGGCTTCCCCAGGCCACACTGGAAGAAGAAGAATTGTCTTGGGCCATACATAAAATACACTAACACTGCTGGGCATGGTGGCTCATGCCTGTAATCCCAGCACTTTTGGAGGCCAAGGCAGGCAGATCACTTGAGGTGAGACACACCTGGCCAACATAGTGAAATCCCATCTCTACTAAAAATACAAAAATTAGCTGGGCGTGGTGACAAGCACCTATAATCCCAGCTACTCAGCAGGCTGGCGCAGGAGAATCACTTGAACCTGGAAGGCAGAGGTTGTAGTGAGCCAAGATTGTGCCACCACACTCCAGCCTGGGTGACAGAGCAAGACTCCATCTGGAACAAAAAAAAACAAAACACCAAAAAAACACAAAACAACAATGATAAAAAACATACTAACAATAGTTATGAGCTAAAAAGAAACCACCAAAAATTCTCTAATGTTTTAAGAAAGTTTACAAATTTGTGCTGGGCCACATTCAAAGCCAGTCTGGGCTACATGGAGCCTGCAGGCCATGGGTTGGACAAGATTGATCTAGGCTCCTCTTAGGCTGGTTTTGTTTGCATGCTTCTTCGTTCATTCCAGCTATGTTGCTGCCAGAACCCCTGACCTACCCTCAGCCCAGTCCTCAGTCTTAATCCCTATCCCTGCTCACCTAGGTTTTGCCAACCTTATTCTAGCTATTTATCCTCCTAACCAGCACTATGCATACCGCCAGCTTTGATTCTACCCCTACTCATCCCTATATACCCAGCCCTGCCTCATTCAGCCCAGCCCAGAAGAATGAGCCAGGGCCCTGTCCTAGTATAACCATAAGTCACAATAGTTTGAGCCATGAAATGGAAAAACCCATGACTCGCTGCTGCTGCTGGAGGAAATCATGTCTTCTCAGGGAAAACTGATCAGCTAGCCAGTGGGAGTGAGAATTGCTGGACAGAACTCCAGGGACCTTCGTGTCAGCTGTTACATCTTCTATGAAAGAGAAGCAATGCCTTTCAGAAGTCAGGTGGGTGCTATGGCATAGTAAGATAAGGGGCCATTAACTGAGCTCCATGTCCCCAAGTCCTAGTGACAGTCTATTCAGGGGCCTTGGAGAACTTGGGGACGGTCAAGGCATTCTCAGCTGAGCCAAGGCCTACACCATGAATGTCAACGCCATTGATGATTTATTTGAGAGTGGAGAACGCGTTCGGTCCTCAAAAGCTGTGATCCTGATTTCCTTCTCCCTGACGAGCATGTCCACCAGTCACACAATTATACCTCTGAGCTGACGCTGGGCTACGGATCCCATGATCCCCACCCATCAGCCACCCCCATCAAAGAGTTCATCAAGACCAAGTTTTTGGCAATAGTTTATTATCCATTCATCTCCTTCAGTCCTCTCTGAGAAAATAAAACCAGAGAGGTGAAGCTATGAAATGGCTGGAAGACTTTCAGTGATACAGTTGTACATGACTGCTGCCCGTTCGTAGCACGTTCTCTACTGGATTCACCGGGAAAGGCCTTACACTTCCCAGATACACAACAAGTAGAAGCAGATAGAATAACCCTATGGGCTCAGCCTAGTCATGAACCAAGGTTTGTATGTTTGGCAAATAAGTTTTATTACAATTTGGCTTCATACATAATTATCCACAGTTAAGAATGCACTAATTTGTGATTATAAATATTTCATCCTTGTGACAGTTGTATTTTTTAAAATAAATTAGTCATCCTCCACTCTATAAAAGGTGTATTCATTTCCTATTGCTATTGTTATAATTCCTACAGCCTTAGGTTCAACAACATATAGTTATTATCTTAGAGTTCTGTAGGTTGGTCAGAAGCCCAATACAGGTCTCACCAGGTTAAAATCAAGGTGTAGACAGGGATATATTCATTTTGATAGCTCTGTGAAGAATACGCTTCCTTCTCTTCTCCAGCTTCTAGAGCCTGCCTGCATTCTTTGGCTTGTGGCCCTTTCCTCTATCTTCAAAGCCAACAATGTTGAATCTCTCTGACCCTTCTTACATTGGTTGCATTCTTCTCTGTGACCACAAATGGGAAAAGTTCTCCACTTTTAAGGACTTGTATGATGACATGGATCCCACTGGAGTTATCCAGGATAATCTCCCCATCTCAAAATCCTCCACTTAATCACATCTGCAAAGTCCCTTTTGTCATATTCCCAAATTCTGGGGATTAGGAAGTTGATAACTTGGGGAGGTCATCTGCCTACTGCAGAAGTAAGGATAGTCTTAACGCCATTCATATTTTAAGTTCCTCTCATAATGCCAGAGCTTGTGAATTAGAGTTCATGAGACTGGTATCAGATATCTCAATTTTTAAAGAGAAAGTTCCATCTTTCACTTATTAGGCTTATCAGCAGCACAAAACCAATTATTTGTCAAAGAGTATTTGCTGAAGCCTACACTATGAGCTAGGTCTGCCATGCAGGCCACGGGTAGAACATGATCTTTTAGGGAAGAGGGTTTGAAGTGCATGCTAATTTCACAGGGCTCCATCCAGAAGACCCTGACACGCTTCTGGATTTACAGGTTAAATACAAAAGCATTGAAGTACATTTTTACTGGTGGAAGTCAAATTTCTGGGCCATGTCATCTTCAAACATGATATCCAGATGGATGAACACCATGCCCCGCGATATGCCCCTTGAAGATTAGGCAGCCCAAGGTGCCAATTCTTCTCCTACAAAGAGATCTGGACCAGTGCTGTACAATAGAGACTTTTTCAGTGATCAAAATGTTCCATAATCCGCACTGTTCAATACAGCAGCCACTAGACTTTATGTGGCTACCGAGCATGTAAAATGTAGCTAGTGTGACTAGGTAACTAAATTTTTTATTTTGATCAAGTAACTTAAATTTAATACAAACAGTCACATATGACTACTGGCTACCATATTAAATAAGGCAGATTTAAACCCTTTGGGAAAAAGAGAGTTTGGCTTGGCCCTGAAGGTCATGTTTTGATCCTGCTGATCCTGTCTAGAGGGATGCAGAATCAAGCACTCCATCCTGCTATGCGCGAGTCACTACAAACTCAAGTGTTTCCAAAGTTCTGGGAGCTCAACTGAGCACCAAGCCTACTCATTGAGCATCAACACACACATCACCCTGAGTGTCCAAAACCACAAGGTTTATATTCTAGCCCACAGGACTGGCTACCTGGCTCTGCTCAAGGCGGCAGGATCAATGGGCAAGAATGCTCAAGAATTTACCACAACTCAGCCTTGCTGTCCTTTGCATCTCTCAGCAGAAAGCAGCAGGAAAAGGCACAGACTATAGTCTTGGCTTGGCCTCTGTGTCAACCACAGGGCAAAGTTAGGGGTTCTATCTAACCCCTAACACCCAGATACGGTAATAGTGCCTTACTTCTTCATTTATTTCCACCGTTACATTTTGTAAATTGGATCTTCTAGGTTAGAAGGATATGCTGACCAAAAAAATGGGGACATATTCAAGGAGTGTCCCTGGGTCAACTCGTCATTCAGTCTCTGCCACATGGCCAGTGACTCTGATGTTATTATCCTGAGCCTCCCAAGGTACAGCCGTTCACTACTATTCATCATATTGGCTAAGGCGTTCACTAACAGAGCTCATTTTCTATCAGACCAACAAGAAACCTACAGTTGACTGCAGCTGCCTAGATGCGCGTATGAAATGCATTTCATTTTTATGAATCCTCCTAATCAGATTGCTTCTGCACTGTAGCCCCAGTTTATACCCCAATTTTTACAAAGCCAAAGTTAAAGATAATCTGTCTTTTATGCTCTACTGCCACCATCACTAAGCGCTCATTGCTCCTTACAGCTATATTTTCTTTATAACATCCATCTGTTCTGCTACATTTACCCTACTTCTTGCCAGCCCCCAAAATCTCTTAAAGCCACCATGGTAGCAATAACTACCAGTACGATTGTCCTGTTGACAGGCCAATTTATGCCTTATCTTTCACCAGATCACATCTACCTATAAGGTTCAGTTGAATCCCTGGAGAACCCCTGCCTGTCAAGAACCTAGTAGAGATACTCACCAAAATCCTCATTTCACTTCATTCATCCATATATCCCAAAGTCTAAGAAGATAGAAAACATTTCCCAGTCTTATTTTCCATTGCCTAGGTCATTCATTCTGGTGGACTAGAGCCACAGTTCCTCTTCATCCCCCAAATCCACCCCCTTCTTCATAACCCCTTCCTCTCAGCCACCAAGATTGCTATCATGTCACAGCCATAGTCCCAGGCTGCTTCTTACCCTCATCAAAGACGCCAATAGATTCCAGGCAAAAAAAGCTTCAGTTCACTGTGAACTAGGAGATCTGAACTATTATTGTGCCTCTGACATACCTGACCTTCCAATAATAATGCCCTTTTATCATCATTAAGTATCAGGACCTAATAAACTGGGCCTTGGTTGGGGGAAAATAATGCCTCAAGATAGAGGTCTTTTAAGAAAAGGCCATCCCTCCTAAAAAGAGCTGTTCTCTCATTCATATTGAACGAATGACTGGATGGACAACTGGATTCAATATCTCTTTTTTTGCTCACCCCTACACGCCAAGCTCTGTGCTAAGCACTAGGGATCCTAAAATATGTTCTGGGCTCTCATGGATCTCACAATCTAGAGAGAAGATAAGCAGATAAATCTATAATTCCAACACAGAGCAATCGTGCTCTATGAAAGAAATAAAGGCATTCAAAGAAGGGTATGTTTCTCACAGTGGGAAGCAGGTTGTGGCAGACAGAGGAGACATACAGAGTAGAGCAGCAATTAGGTGAATGGGACTTAGGTGAATGCGAGTTAGGTGAATGGGAGTTAAGTCGGAGGCAGATATTTCTGGCAGCGGGAGTAACATGTTCAAAAGCATAAAAGTGCATTATAATCAACCAGAAGATGGACCACCAGAGTCTGAAGCATGAAAGATGAAGCAGGGGAGTGTGAGAAGTGAGGTAACCCTAGGAAGGGGCAGGTATCCCAAGTTGAAGGGTTTCATTTTATTCTGAAGGTGACAGGAAAACCACTGAAGACATTTTTAAGCAGGAAAGAGATATGATC